TTATAGGAAAGCAGAGCTATTTGCTCATACTAAATAATTGCAGATGGGTGAACTGGAAAATAGCAAAGTGTGGATTTGGGGACTGCATTTCTGAGGAGGAAATTACTGCACATTTATTGCTGCAAAACCAACAGAGTGCTGAATTCCTGTCTCTGTGGTAGAATTCTAAGTAACATTTTGCACATAGAAATCCCTGCTGTGTGGGAAGTGGATGAGAAGTATAAGGGACGTTGTGCTCTCAGGCCAAATTTTAAAAATTGCCATGAAAGTTGTATAAATTGAAAATAAGCTGCTTGGAGAGAAGCAGAACTGTAGTTTGTGCAGGCAGCAAGACACACTTGAGTGTGTTTGTTCAGAAAGCATGATTGTAAGAGAAAAACCCCGTGGATGTTTTCTCACTAAGGACACCTTTCCAGGAGAGCTCAGAGACTGATCCCAGCTGTGTATGTGAGGAAGTTGGCACTCTGTCAGAGAGCACTGCTGTGTCTGCAGAGTGTGACAAGCTGCAGAATTTTAAAGATAAGTTGTTTGGCTCTGAAGCACAGCAGCTTACTTGCTTTCACAGATTTGTGTTACTGACTAGAATATGTGTTCTTTGGCATCTCAGAAATCCAACAGGGCAGCAAAGATGCACAGTTGCTTTAACAGCATTAGAGAAGTGCAAGCTTCCATGGTGTGCAATCTTCAGATGTCTCCTGATGAGAGAAATCCTCCTGGAGTGGCAGTGAGAAAGAGTGAGCACTGCATGTGAATAGCAGCATGAGCAATAGTTAGAACTGGTGCATGGTAATCCCAGAGGACACTCCAGCTACTGAGGAAAGCAGGTATTTTTATAGTTATACTTTTTAGAAAAATGTTGAAAATGTATTGAGAGAGCACCATCAGCAGTTGTGATTATGCTGCGTATGAGCAGCATGAGGCTGAGTTCTGCTGCTGCTGAGAAAAGCTTCCAGGTCACTGAAATATCAGCCACTTTAAAAATCATGGGTTATTCTTCTGTCTAAAGCCACAGTGGAGATTTGTGATTTTTCACAAAGTGAGAATAAAATGATAGTCAGGAACTGAAAGACTGAATGGATGATCAAAGTACCATAATTAATGTTGGAGTTTAATGTACTCACCGTGCCCTAAATTACTCTTTGCTAGTGAAAAGTTCTTCCATGTGACCTGGGAGTCAATAGTAATAGTTACTACATTTTTTGAATTTATCATACAGCTGTGAAATATTACTTTATGAGGTATGGGAATAGCCTTTTTCAAAACACTCCCAAGCCTAGGCTGATCTAAAAGTCACAAGGCTTTGTTAATGGAGTGTCAGGCTTGAGCTGATGCTGTAAACCCCGCAGGGAGCAAAGCACTGATTTACTGATGCTACTCAGGTTTTGGGTAGGAGTTGGCTGCAGTCCATCTGGCTGCCTTGCTTGTGGAGTGAGTGTACTTTAGAATCCAGCTCATCTGGGAACAGCAAAAACCTCCTTGACCAGCACAAGCGATATGGCAGCTTGCCAGGAGCTCATAATAGATGAGAGCATTCCCTTGTTGGAAGCAGAGCCTGTGATGGTTATTCAAGCAAAAGCAATGTGTTTCCTTTAAGTATGCAAATATGGTTATTAGCCCTTGATGGAAAGTGTGGAGTGTTGATACATTTAGCGACTCAGATCATGAGCTTGTGTAAAAGTCACAGAAATTATCATCTGGAATGTTGTTAATTGTTGAAGAATGTCAACAATTCGCCTTCCCTGGCTTTTACTGTTAGAATTTGCTGTGTGGGACTGTCCAAACACAGGTGACAGAACAAGCACCTGGCCATTCAAACCTATATAATACTTTATCCAAAGTGTTTTAAAAATGAATTTTAACATTCTTTGCTGCTGTTCCTCCTCAGAACTCTTTGGAGAAATTAATTAAAAGTGCTGCCATCTGTTTCTCTTATATTTCATACCAAGGGTAAAAAGAGAGTGCCAGTACTTTTGAAGCAGCATTGTATAATTTTGTTATTAAAAATACATGTTAAGAATACAGTGAGTACTAGTACATTGGTCCCACTTTTGTGAGTCGTTGCAATGCTTTTTCAACAACATTTTAGTCTTTTTATCCTAAAAGAAAACAACTCTGCGTGAAATCTGTGGGTAATAATCACTGGATGGAGATGGCCTTCTCTGACAGAATTATTTTGTTCTAGAAGTAACACCAGGCACAGCAGCACCCAACTTCTCACTGAGCTCCAGTAGCAGCTGCACTGGCAGCTTCAAAGGTAAAGTCAGCCTTGTCTCTGATGCTGACAGATTCTCTGGACTCTTTTTTGTTCTTTTGGATGTGAATTTCTGGGTTTTGTCTTTGAATTAGTGGAGTTCATGCAAAGTTTTATCCCCTTCGAGTAAAAACTTGCCCAAAAGAGGAAGTGTATAGGTAATTTGTTCTGAAAAGCTGGTGTTCGGGAAAAAACCTCCATATTGTGGTTCATATTTAATTTTGTTTTTAAAGTACTCTGTGAAAGAAGAAACAGCTTTCCTATTTCAGACAACTTTTTCTTTCTTTTGAATTTCCTCTCTCCCTCCCCCCCCTTCTTTTTTTGAGAAACAAAACGGTGTTTTCACAAGACAGGCAATCTTAATGGTAAGTCCTGATAGAAGAACATGTGGGGTAATTCTTTTACTTTCACCAGTTATGTTTGTTTTCTCACAATATAAAATGATAGTGTAATTGCTTATTTCTGCAGTGTAAAATTAGTGCAATTAAGATGATTTTGTTCTCTGGCCTATATTACCTACTGTATTTCACATGAACTAATGGAGAAGACAGAAATTTCACCCTGCAGGTGATATTTTATAGTTCTTGTAATATATGGCAGATGCTGATTACTGAGGCTGTAAAAGGGGAGAATTGGATATTAGAGAAGATAAATAAGAGTGGGGGAGGGGACTGAAGGGGAAATACACTATTTGCAAAGACCTCGAGGTAAGCTGCTTTCCATGTACTGTTTAAGCTTTAATGACCCATATTGAGATTCTGGCAGCAAAATAATGGCCAGCTAGAGGAATTAAAGGGCCTCAGGTGATGATCTGAACAGCAAAAGCTGACAGAAGTAATAAATACTATTGTAGTTCCACACAGGCTCTGCTAGGAGGAAGTTTTTTTGTTCCCAGTGTCTGTGAATGAATGGTCATTCAATAAGGTTTGAGCAAAGAGCTGGCAAAAACCTCAGTTACTTCAGATGAACTCTTCTTAGGGTTTCCCCAGGTTAAAAGTCCTTGCTTCTGTTAGAAGGTACCTTTCAAAATAGTTCTTTATCTTTTGTTTGTATCTACACCTTTTTCCAGTAGCAATTTCTTACCATTTTTAAAAAAACAACCCAACAAATCTAAATCTCTCTGAGCTTTAGTTCCAAGAAATTGCCCAAGTTCTAAGATGACGATCCCATGAAAATTGCTCACGGTTCTTCCTTTCTGAAAAAGGCCTCTGTTTAATTTGTGGAATATGAACAGTTTCTAGACATGCACTGATCAGATGTTTAAAATTCTTATTTGTAATTACTGTAGCTGTTTTACAACTCAGGGGCAACAAAATCAGAGCACAGGAAAGACTCCTCTGTGCTGGCTTTCTAAATAGCACAAACTGTGGTTGCAGCGTTTTTTAAATTTTACTCCTCACCTCTTCAGCCAGGTTGTAGTGTTGCCTCATTCGTGGTCATAGAGCTTCCTTGCACATTTGCAGTCCTGTCTTCATGATGTCTGTGGTGATACTCACTTTGAAGCAGCTTTATGGTGTTTTCTCTTTGCTGTCTGCCTTCTGCCTAGGATGAACTCCAGAGTTTGATGCTAAGGATGCTTGTGGAGAAACACTGATGCAGCCAGATGCCATGTTGCTTTTGTGTTGCTTCCTAGAGTGATTAACTTGTCAGATTGATCTCCTAAAGACCAGTATGAGAGATGATATGTACTTATCTTAATTCAAAGCCAGATGACCCCTGGAGTTACCTCAGCCTGTTGGAAAACCCTGAATAGGACAGCAAGGGGTAACAGTGCTGTGGAGGCTCTGTAGTTTCCTTTCTGCATAGAAAAGGATTGAGATACACATTTGGTCTTTCTTTTTTTTTTCTTTGACACAAGTAGAAAGGTGACAGAAGAAAGTTCCACATTATTCAGTTTAGAAATATGCCACTCATTTGCATGTCTTTGTATCTATTATTTACTTGCTAGGGTGACTGATAGTCCTGCTTAGATGTATGCATGAGATGACAAGGCACCAACGACAGAATGACATTGGTAACAACACATGGCTTGTCAGCATATATTGCTAAAATATGCCATGTCTTGTGGAACATTAAATATGTAATATGGAATGAACATTAAATATGTATTAGGTTGTAAAAAAAATTAGTGAAGGAGATTACCTGAAAGTTCACTAGATAAGTTGTTGTCTTTTCTGAAAACATGAGCTGGTACCATTTAAAAATATAGTGAGAAAATACCATGTATTTATTCTTACGGGCTAATACAAATGACTCAATAAATCTGTGTTATATTTGAGAGAAAGGAGAATTGTTGCTTAAAACTCTTTTTTTAGGATAGATGCTGCACTTAATTTAGATAGCAGCTCTGTTGTGTTGGATAGGAAAGATAATGTTTTGAAAAGACATGCTTGACTTTTGTCTGAGACAAAAAAAAAACCTTTGAGTGTAGGAGTGCTCTTGATGTCTGGTTGCTCAGACATGAGTGATTCACTTAGAGGAGGCTGTGTAAAGAAAGCATCTCTTGCTCCAGCTCATTTTGGCCTCAGAGTGAGACTGAGTTTGACCAGGAAGGTGGAGAAAATAGCATTGAATGGGAAGGTGTGATCTTCAAAAACTGGATATGTGGAACTCATGAACATAGAAGATACTAAAGTCCAACTATTGGTTATCAGGTTATGAAGCTCATTTAAGTCACTAAAGAAAGAGAGCAAATCAATATAAAATATCTAGATACTCTTTAAGGTAACATTTATGTTTTGTTTTTCAGCTTCTCTTTTGAAAGGATTGAAACATGCAAACATTGTGCTGCTTCATGACATCATTCACACCAAGGAGACCTTGACACTTGTGTTTGAATATGTGGTGAGTAAAGTGACTGTATGTTCTAGATATGGTCCTGAGTGTATTGAATTTTATGGAAATGCTCTCTTTACCATCAATGATCTATGAATCAGGCCAAAATAAACCTTTACTTTGTTCAGGAGAGTGATGGCTGTAAGAGATTTTGCTTCGTGGTAGAGTTGGCTAGAAGTGGGAAGCTGGGCTAAACCAGATTCAGAGATGAAGTGGCTGCTAGGGCTCTTGAAGGACCTTATGTTGTTGAGTTGACTTTTCAAACTTACTCTGCTTCCTGGTTATAGTTAGTTTATTGGAGCTTTTTCTTTATTGATGGGATCAGGTAACTTTAAATAGGTGAGAATAATGTAGGGAAGAACAGGACTGAAATGCTTAACAGGTAGGTCCTTGGTGAAAAGCTTGCATCAAGTTTAAATTACTTTTTTTTTTGTGATTGGCTTGTGCAAAGTGTCTTTTATAAGTGATGTCAGTAAAAAAATGGCTGGTGCATGAAATTTAGAATTTGGTGGTTTATTTTCAATTTTGCTATGACTAATGATTTACCTATTAATTAAAACTTCAATTTACATAGTAGGCAGTGCAAGGATCTAATTGTGTTGAGAGTATTACTTTCCAAAGTACTGGCCTTGGCCTCCTAATTAATCTTTTTAGTTTTTGTAAGACAAACATATGGCATTTATGTAGAACTACTTTAGCATTTAGCTGTGGAATTATGCAATGTACTATTATAATTAACCTCCCAGTTTTCACAGATGGGTCCAAGAACATGTAATTTAAAAGAAACAAATGAGTTTAGAGACCATTAGATTTTCAGTGTAATATCAGTTATTGTATTGTAGTCTGTAAGACACTGTTTATAAAGTACACTGACTGCTAGCATTACTCTAAATACATATCTGCTTAAGACAGATGGAATTGTTTTGTGTGTTTCTTGGGAGCAGGCCTTAATTTTTACATGAAAATGCACACAACATCACAGACTCTTGTCTGGAGAAGCTGTTAACCTTGTGTATTCACATAAATGTGCTACACTGTGAGGGTGTGGGTATTCAGCTGCAGCAGCCTGCAGAGCTTGTGATACAGTATGTGTTTCTTACCTCAGGTATTGGAACAGTAGTAAAAATTTGATTCCTTTTCTTAAAATCAGTAATTCTCCTGCTCCTGACTTGCACACTGAATTAACATAGGAAAAGCCTTGATACCTAATTTTATGTAATAGTCAGTGTACACTTATTTGCATATCTTTACATGAATACGTTTTGCAGTCCCATTTATCAGCATTAGATCAACTGTATTTAGCTGTACTCTTCAGAACTGGTTGAGAAATTAGATGTATAGAATATGTTTCTCCCTAAAATAGATGGGTTTGCCTATTCCACTGATTTCAAATTGCTGGATTCTACATTTTGCTTATTACACTGATGCAGGTTTCTGGATTTTATATCCAGTGAGATTGTTTAGACAGGTTGTTTAAGATAGGTTGTTTAAGACTCTGGCTCCCAGCCATGTACAGACACAGATTAAGCTTCAGGCAATGGCACATTCCTCTAGATTCACTTAGCTGTTTTTCTGCAAGGGACCAACCCTGCTGGTGGTTGCACCTCTTGGTTCCCATGGTGTTTGGTAGCTATTGAGACTGTTTGAGAATCTCATTTAGTAATGGTTTCTAGCAATTGATCCAAGTAATATTTTAGTGTTTAGGCTGGTAGGCAGTCTTTCAAGGTGGGGCTGGGGAAGAAGGGAAGGATACTTTATTCTCTCCTAACAGCCCAAAGACTGTATAATAATGACATTGTAACAAGTTCCTGCACCTAGAGATGACAGAATTTCTTAACAAAAGTCTGTTTTCATTGTTCAGTAATACAAAGTTATAGTCTGATCAAATAGTGAATGCTTTCTGATAATGCTTGAGAATGCTCACATAACCTGAATTGAATTCTTGTGGGTGTGCATGATACAGGTTTTATTGCATGATTGCAAGGATCCCGTTTGTTCCTTTGGTTATAAAGCTTCCATTCAGTGCATAATATGAGTGCAGAGGCAAAAAATACAGTTACCCATTTAAATGCACAAATTTTGGCTGGTTTAGTATGTAATTTAGCTGTGTAATTGGTGTTACTGAGCTCTGTATCTTTAATGTCTGGTTTGTTGTTATTTTAACACCTGTATGGGGTTTAGCTCAATCATATGAGTAATTTGTACTGAAAGAAGTCAAAGTATTCATGTGATTAAAATTACACGGTGGTGTACATTTTTGAATTACTGACTCCTAACCTAAAAGGGATTGAATTTGATTTATTTCATAAAGGGATATCATGGAACTGATACACTGTTGCCATTGATCACTATTGACTTTTTCAAACATAATAAAAGATGTCTGAGTGAGTTATCTTGACTAAATTAGGAATGAACAGTTAGTGATCCAAGAGTTCTCAGTAAATGGAAACTTTGGGTTGCTAGGTTGGTGATGATTCCATTGGGAAAATAACACTGGTGAAATGTCTGAGGTTATCAGAAGTGTTTGGTCTCAGCATTGACCCTGAAAGAGTAGAATGAAATTTAATTTCATGTAGCACCTTTCATTGCAAAATGCATTATGGTAATAAGTTAAATGCTGACAGCAGAATAGCCTCTGAAAGGGAACATGGCAGTTATTAAATTATCTGGGTCCCTCAAATTGGCTTTTAAAAAATATGTATGTCTGTCAGATGAAAACATGACAGAGTTTTTTAACTTTAACCTTGGTGGTCTGCAAAGCCAAGAAAAGTCAACCTGTAAAACTTCTGACAGTTGCAGATCAGGAGAATTTTATTCTCTGTATAAACATCTTGGTGGTGAATGTGGAGCTGTACATTTATGTGGAAAAAGAGAAAGGGAGCTCACTCCTTTTGAATAATAGAACTTAGTTGGAAATAGTTTAGAATACAGTACCTTGTTACTAAGGCACATGTTAACTCTTACATCAGCATATTGCAAAGCATGCTTAAAGCTCAGTTTTATCACTGGGTGACTGAGAGGCATTATTACCTGGGGAGTTTTGAGAATGAGCTGCTTGGAATTTCCTCTAAAAACATGAATGGCCGATAGTCTTTCATGTATAAATGGTAAAGAAAATTATTTCTGTATAGTTAACTGGGATGTGCTAAGCAAGACCTGAAAATGAAATTTTGACACACTTTGCATCTGCTGTGTGAGACTGCAGTGGCTTCCCAAAGTAAAAGGTCAGTTCAGCTTTACATTTCAGTGGAGGTGTGAGACTGTTCACATAAGTTTTATTCCCTTCCTCACCAGGTTCTGTTTAGGTGTTGGTTTAGGTGATCTTATGGGGATGGTGGCTTTAGTGCCAGTGTCACTGACATGGCCAGCGTTGCCCAAGGAGGTGGTGAACTTTACAGGTGAGGTCTCAGTCATGCAGAGGGATCTCTGAAGAGGGGTTCACATCTGTTTGCTCTAAAATGATCATTAGCTGCTACCATTCGCTTCTTCACTTGTTTATTTAGGAGGACGATGACTGAATTTAGAAACATTTAATTGCTGAAAGGCAATCCTAAGCAAAATGTGTTTGCTACAGGCTTGGTAGAATGATAATGAGGTTTTTAGAATTATGCATAATTATGTAAGTATATTATTATCAATAAATGAACCAGCAGCTCATCCTATTCCTGGCATGTAAAAGTGAGCTTGTATAGCAATGCTTTACATCATGTTTTCAATATTTATGAATTAGGTTTGCAACAAGAACAGATACTTATAATTGGAAGGATGAGTAATGAGCAATATTATGTCTGCCTCAACAGTGAAAAAGCTCCAGAGTAATCTAATAATGTAATTTAAACCCAAGCATTTTCAATTTCCTTGCCTTTTTTAATATTGGTATATGTTTTTGCTTCTAAAAATTACTTTGCATTAAAAAAACGTTTAATTTTCATTGCTTCATTACAGCAGCTAAAATAGGTTGTTATACAATGAGTTTACTTAATAAAGTTCATTAGTTACATTTTCCTCTCATTTCCTGTATGAAAATAATAGGTGTGAGTTTCTTATTTTGAAGCTTATTGAAAATTGACATATATACTCTTTATCAGAATTAAGAATTACACAGCTGAGATTTCAAATTTGTCTTGGGACAAATTTGTCCTACATAATACTTACAAAGTATTGTGGAAGAAAATGAGCAAAATTATTCATCTGCAAGGATCAAAAAGTGTTTCCATTGAAAAATTCCAATTTCTTATAACTTTTGATAATTTCAGTCGAACACTTTTATTGCTCTTCCATTTTTATTTTGTTATGGAGCGAGTGTTGAAACTGAAGGTATGATGGCATTGATTGTTTGTAAAAACAAACCAAAAAAGCCACATTTTTTTTAGTAAGTGAGAGAGCAGGGAAAATCAGTAGTGTCCCAGAGCTGCTTTTGAGTTCTTATCACCAGGCTCCTCCAGTGACATGTAATACCTTAGGGAGAAACCAGGCACAAGAAGGGAAAGAGGCGTCTTCTAATCCTTGACTTAAACTGAAACTTATTTGGAGCCTGAATTACATTATTGTGGTGTGAAAGCGAAATGATGGGTGGTTTTCTTCCTGTTTGAAATTGAGGAGCCTGTCCAGCTGTGGTAAGCAAGAACTGAATGCTGGTGAAGCTCTTCACAAGCCAGGTGCCTCCAGTCACCCTGGCTTACTGTGGAGGTGCCTGTCCTCCCTGGCTAGGAGCATCACTGAGCTCCCAGCTTGGGAACAGTTCAATTTAGTAGTTTCTGTTTACCTTGACCACAGAAGGAGCTGTTCCCCTGTAGTTTAACCCTGCAACCCTGAAGTTGCATTGCTTAAAGTGCAGGCAAAAAGATGACAGAACAAAGCTGAAAGCAAACAGTGAGAAAGGAAATCCTGTACTGTTGAGGAGAGGCAGTAAGGGAATACTGCTCTTGGGAAAGCCTTGTTTTTCAAGTTTTAATGAGCAGATCAGAGACAGGTGCTGCTGATATCCAAGTATAGGCTGGAAATGCAAA